ACTTATTATCCAGAGTGATTAGGTTTTGAATTGTGTTCAGATTATTATTATTATTATTATTATTATTATTATTATTATTATTATTATTATCATTATCATTATTATTATTACTCTTATTATTATCCTTATCTCCTCTTACCCCATTTCCAGTCTAGTTGACCTTTTATTTTTATACATAAATGCTCTTAACAAGTCTATGTGTGATCAGATTGTTTGAAATGTATTGCGCTAATATATCACAGTTTTGATAATCTCCGTCTTCTTATTACATTATCGAAATACAACATTGAATTCCAATATCTTGCTATATAATGAAAGAAAGAATAAAAGATGATCGTAAATATACAATTTCATATTTTTTTCTACTTTATAGTACCAATCTCTATCAAACATTTCCAACCTGATTTATATGTCGATAATGAAAATGCTATAAGTTCATCTTTGCTATTATGAATAGGGTTTTAATGAAATAATTTTACATTTATACAGTCTTATTAATACTCACAACCTAATGTTCTTTCTGTTCTAATTGTGTCAGTTAATTATGTGATCATTTAGTATCTTGAGTACGATTATGCAATCCTTTGTTTATTTATTGATTTAATCTTCTATTATTATTATTATTATTATTATTATTATTATTATTATTATTATTATTATCACTAGTAGTAGCATAGTGAACGAGAACACCAATGTGGACAATTAAACGTATTTGAGGAAATTACAGAATATCTTGATAAAATCTGAGATCCCTATAGTAAATACTCCATTCGTAAAATGTCTGTCAACTGTCTCAGACTTCATTGTTCCTTTATTTCCATATCAATCTCTTCTCTTTAATCTTCTCAACCTTCTGCCTCCGAGAATTCCTTTCTCGATTAGTGATACGTAATACTTATATCTATCGACAATAGTAGCTCACAGAACAGTAGTAGTAGTACTAGTAGTAGTAGTATTAGTAGCATTGGTAGTAACTATAGTTTTACCATGACTATCTTTGCAATATATAAACACTTGCCAATTTTAACTATAATTAATAAAATGTACCCGTTCTCTTTATAACTAATTATTGTTTCTTTCCGAACATATCTCTGATTTTTTTATTTCTAACAACGCTATATCATATAATTTTAGACCGTTTGTCAGTCAATCAGCTACAACGTATGACCAGGCGCATATGTTTATCGATCCAAGTTGCCATACCTCATTAGCACAACAACATGAACACCGGATTCACAGAAGTAATATATAAAAAAAAGACTGAATATAAGGATAGAGTACGGGAAGAAAGAATTACTTGGTAGAAAGAAAGATATAAAGCGATTTTAATCTCATAGTTTAAGAGAAGACAGCGAGTGTATAAACCTATGCCATTGTGATTGATTCTGAGCCACGCCAGCTAGAGCCCCCAACCATTGGTTACGATAGTCAGGCGGACCGCAACCAAGTAGTCTGCATCTACCAACATGGATCAGACCAGAAGTTAGTGACTTCAAGTACTGATGCCACGTTTTGGTTTGACCGCCTCTAACTTTCTTCTAACCATTCCCAAAACTAGTTAGCATTTCGCATCGTGGTAACCGGTGTTCAGACATACATTTGTACCTAATAAGAATCCTTGAAATGGAATAAATCAATTTCTTTTGTCATGTCTTACTTTGTCGAAATATACTTCATATTATAAGAATGAAATAACAATTTTATTATTTACTGAATTATTCAATTTAATCATTCAATATTCCATAATTTATTAAATCAATTTTATAGACAAATACAATTCATTGACAATGATATACGCTCAATAGACCGAGTTATTTGTAATAATAATAATAATAATAATAATAATGATAATAATAATAATAATAATAATAATAGTAATAACAATGAAAAGATCTACATGAAAGAAAAGAAATTGCCGAGTTATATATTCGGCCTATATGATTCGCCCAATATGAAATGAGTCTATAAATGTTTTCTTTTTTAATTTTATTTATTTATTGATTGTCTAGACTACTTATTTAATATTAATTCCAATTAAACAATTAACTACTATATAAACCCTAAAAAATTTGATTCACATACCATTCATCAGTTAATTGTAATGGTAGATTTATGGATCAAGGTATGAAGTTTTATTATTATTATATACTTCAATTATTTATAAAATCTCAACGGATTTATCTGAAGTAAATTCAACATTTTGCCTGGTCATCCAGTTTAAGCTGTTTTTCAAGTTTAAATTCATTCATTGAAATTGTATAAATATATTCCTCTTCTTGTTCTTGTTCTTGTTCTTCTTCTCCTCCTCCTCCTCCTCCTATTTCTTCTTCTTCTTCTTCTTCTTCTTCTTCTTCTACTACTACTACTACTACTACTACTACTACTTCGTGTTGTTGTTGTTCTACTTCTTCCTGCTTAATGTCTCACATTAAATTGGCGCCTAAATGCTTTGGAACTACAGGATTAAATTTTAGACAAAAGTTCTTATTTATTATGATTCAATTGTATTCTATAATTTATCTACGTTTTTATTTATTTATTTATTTTTAGTTATTGATTATAACATTATGTTTACAAATCATCCCTTGTAAATTTGAGGATAATGTTCAAGTGGATGGTAAGTTTTCTCTATTTTTTCTTTTGCTTCGTAAAAAACCAAATAAAAATTCAATGTTATCAAATTGATGATTAATAATTGAATGTGTGTGTGTGTGTGTGTGTGTGTGTGGGAAAATTCACTAATAAATGAATAAGGTTAGTTAATAGAAAGTTATTATTTATTATGAATGTATTTTATAAATAACAACATGAGTGAACATGTTTACTAAAAGAAATATATAAATAACCAACTTAGTTTTAATTAAAATTAATAGACTACTACTACTACTACTACTACTACTACTACTACTTATTATTATTATTATTATTATTATTATTATTATTATTATTATTATTATTATTATTATTATTATTAGTGGCTTTATTCAATATTACATTTTGGATACAATTTAGAATTCTTACTACGGAGTATTTCAACAAGTTTCCCATTTCTTTATTTCTTAATCGATTTTGACGATAAATATTGAGTAATTGGCAATTAGATGTTAACAGTTCAGGAATTGATATTAAAATAGTGTACATAGTTTTTGCTGTATATTACCATCAACTAATCACGATATCTTTGATTGGACTCTTTTGTAACTTATAAAGCAAAGGGTCGTATGGTTTTTATTAGCATGCCTCAATAGGTTATGTGATTAATAAACATAATGATGTGGTAAAACAAAACAAAATTACATGCCACCTCAATGGTCTAGTGGTTAAGAGACTGATAGGTCTTGAGTTCGAATCTCGCGAGGCGAGATCGTGGATGTGCACTACTAAGGAGTCCGACAATAGGACGAAACGGCCTTTCAGTGCTTCCAGGTTTTTCTTGACGATTTAGCTTCAATTGACTCATAATCTAGACTATGAAAATTAATATAATATAACACACTAGTTCTTTTGCTATCACTATGACCTACTCAAAAATATTCAGAAACTAGAGCATCAGTGATTGAGTGAAATATGTATTACTAACAGTTGAATCAATTCACAAGCACATAGTATGAAGAATGAGTAAAAAGAGGAATAATGCATGTGTATTGTACGTGTGTAAGGTCATTGATTATTTGTGTTTACAATCGATGTGAGAATAGATAAAGATTGAGGTGCAAATATAGACTCGATCGAACTGATACACTCATACATAATGGATCAAATGCCTTTATTAAAGAGCAAGTCAGTATAAAAGCACAATGATCCTTTTTTGGCCTCTTATATAATGTAGCTAAATAGATTATAAAAATACATTGATAATGGCTTACTATATGTTAAGTATATTCATAAACTTAGTATATACTAAGATACAGAATAATATTTAATTTAATAACTTTGAGATGAGAATTTTTAAACTAATTTATTAAAAGATAGATGTGTTTACCTTGATTGATTATTGATAATCATGGCAGACTAAACTAATGGATGATAAAAATGATAAATAAATATGAAGTATTCTTAAGTAAAAATAAATCCAATAAACTCTATGAAAGCCATTAATATAATGGAATATACTTATTAACTCAGATAACTAGTATCAGATGGTTTAAATAACATTGATATTTCTTAAGGAATGATTTCTTAATAAGTAATTGTGTACAAATGGCGTATGAACTAATTATTAATCATCGGCTACCATTGGATTATATTTCTTGATGTTGCTCCATGGCTTTGTGAATCAGATCTTTAAATTGAAGACTCCGGGTGTGGACCACCAAGAAAATTCACTGCTTCAGTTTAGGTACCCGGGTAGTATCACAGATCATAGACAAATCAAGTGACTTGTGTGGCGCATATGTATTTGATGCCCATTTGTACTAATATTTATGTGATTAATTAAATAAAACAGTAATTTACATGGTAAAATATACAAATGAACACGAATTATTCTTTGAAGAAAATGTTCTGTTCAACAAAATCACTTACTTAAGCTGTATATTCATATTTAGAGTTATTTGGTAAATATATATTTATAAAACGATAGAGATGATTTTATCATAAATTGATTCGAGACTCTTATTATCAAATGAGGTTATGCAATAATCAAGGGGTAAGAAAAGATACAATGGGTTATTTTAATGAATTGAATTATTCTTAATTATCTAAATGTTTAGATAAAAAAATTAGCTGTGAGAAATGTACTTACTTACCTACGCCTGTTACCCCTCATGGAGAGGAATAGGTCTCTCACCAGCATTCTCTATCCAACTCCATCTTGGGCATCTGAGAATTGTAAACATAGACTATACATTCTATTGATAGTAGTGACATAAATTATTATATAATGAGTTTTTTTTAATTATCTTTTCGTTATTCTGTTTATTAAACTGTACGTAGCGAATCTAACAACTTTAATGTTTATTTCAACTAATCATTGTATACTTAAAAAAATTTTTTTTAAGATAATACAACAGCATTATCCAATATATCATCGAATGTAACAGCGATTGCCAATCCAATAAAATCACTTTCACTCCATCTATGTCCATCTGCAAGAGCAGCTAACAAATCTGGTATTAATTCAAGTAAGTTTAACAGTTTTTTTTGTTTAAAGTTCCATTCTATAGCTGAATAATGAAGCTAATTTGGAAAAGTGAATTTTGTTGTTGTTGTTGACAATTTCATTAAATTAAGCTTTACAGTAGTATTTATAGTTAAGTTTACTTGCTAAAATAGTAGTCTATGGTAAAATAGAATGGTGCCGGATAATTTTTTTAAGGATTCTTAAAGGATTATAGAAGTTTAAATTCGCTTGGTATTGTTTACTTGGATCTTCAGTAGCTAAGTGGATAACTCGATGAAATCTGAAGCGAATGGTACTGGGTTCGAGTCTTAGAGTGAACATCAACTCTGAGATGTAGATACATCCAACTGACGAGTCCCAAGTGGGGCAAAACACACGTCTTAGATTCCACTGCAAGCCACCATCCATCTTTCTTTGTAATGATTATAGAAGTTAGTTAAAAGCTCAATCTTCGAACACCTAGTTAATTCGATTTATTCCGCATCTTCAGAAGTCTCCTTTAAAATCATGCATACAGTCGGAAGAGTTGACTCAAAAGAAATGCAAATGGAAAACAACACGTCAGTTGTGAGATAGTAACTTAATTAAGAAGATGGTAGATGTGTCGTTAGATTTCGTGGATTAGTTGAAGTTAGTCATTAACACCGGTGGATGCTGTACGGCTCAGTGGTATAGTGATTATGCGTTCGCGAGTGAGACCTATAGGTCCTAGGTTCGAATCTCACGAGGTGGGATCATGGATGCGCACTGCTGAGGAGTCCTATACTAGAACAAAACGACCGTTCAGTGCTTCCAGGTTTTCCATGGTAGTCTAGCTTTAATTGACTTATGATATCAACTATTGAAATTACTAAAATCTCCACAAAATCCCTTCTGATACTAATTCCCAGACAGTTGTAGATTGAATTCATTTAGAAAAACACTTAACTATAATCAATCTATTCACATTGACAACAGTTAGATAACTAATTAATTAAAATATTCAGTTTTTCTGTTAAAACAGGATTTCTTTTTAATCATTAAAACAGATCTTCATAGAACATCTTAAGAAGAATCTGAGATGAATTACATTTATTGATTTTATAGTCGACGTTTTTTTTTCTTTTTCTATTTTTTGAGAATAAACGGTAAAATGTTTAACTTATCATCTTTATTTTTTATCTTTTCATCAGTTTCTATCAATAAATTGATCCCATTTGTCTTGGAATTCATTGAAATATACTAAGATCCATTATTATTATTATTATTATTATTATTATTATTATTATTATTATTATTATTGTTATTATTACAATTTCAGCTGGACTTCAAAACAATAGTGAAATTACTCATCATATTCCTATTGCTCAATTAATTCCACCAAGTCATGAATTAAAATCCATATCTATTAATTTCGATGCAAAATGCCTATCTAAATTAAACCCATGTAAGTAGTATATATACTTTTTATCAGTACTATATATATATCACAAATTTTATCACAAACCAATAATTTAAATAATAATAATAATAAAAACAACAATTCATAAATGATTAAATCATTAAAGTAAAGTAGTTTTTTTCTTTTTTTTCTTGTTTTTTTATTATTTCTAAATAATTTTGAAAAATAAAAGACAATTAGTAAACAATCAATAATTTTTTTGATTTTATTCTAATGAGAAGAAAATTGTATTTTCTTTAAAAAAAATAATTAAGTTATGAAACGTCTGAAAAAAATATAATTTTTTACTCGTTGGGTTACAATAAAAGGTATATTTATTATTATCATTATTACTAATATTGTTATTACTACTACTACTATTGTTACTATCATCACTACTACCATTACTATTATTACTATTATTATCACTATTATTATTACTACTACTATTATTATTATTGCCACCACTAATATTATTACTATTTTTATTACTAATAATACTGTTACCATTATTATTACCACTATTATTATTATTAACTTCCTAATCAATGCTCAATTTATTTGAAACTATCAGGTTTGTTCCTTATTCGTTTTTAAAACATTTTCCCCCCAATGTAAAGTTTTTAATGAAATTTGTGAACAATATTGATACATGTTGTTTAGTGAATAAGTAATTTATATAATGTATATTAACTGAAATTAAAAATATTTAATTTAGTAAGTTTCTCACACTATGTTCCTCATTGAAAAGAAGTGTGTAAGAAGTCAGGTGGTGGGATTCAACTATTCTACGTGGGGGACATCAGTAGCTTAACAGTTAAACCAATAAGTTTTCAAGCAGTAGATCGCAAGCTTTCATATTACTTCATACATTTCATTTTGACTATCCAGGTAGTTGTATTACTAGGCTCCGAATGCCTTGCTTGAAATGCTTTTGTACGGCCATGTGTTTATAACTTCTAAAAAGAAAGTCCTACTCAATGCCTCTGTGCAAAGAGAGTGTTTTTGAAGAAATTGAAAAGATGTAAAGCAAACTTTAGCTCTTAAATTAAGTTTGGAGATATTAACGGTCTACCTACGAAGTTATAAAACTATAATTTCAAATCAATCTTGTACATTTGGCTCCAAGGCTCTATTGGAATGAATGACATATGAACCTATCTTTATAACTGGTTACAATATGACAATATTTCTTGTTGTTTCTCCACTGCTTTGTAAAGTAGGTATTTAGGTTAAACTATCAAGGAGAAGCTTCTTAAAGAATTAAAAAAAAAATAAAAGACAATTCGTAAACAATAATCAAGTGTAACCTTAGTATTGATACTTACGGATTTGTAAATACTTTTCAGTCATTCTATTTTCAATTTATTAATCTTCATATAGTTTCCTATAAAATCTAATCAATATTAGTTTGTTTTCTATATGAAATACTTAATAATAAATTGTAAACAATCATAACATTTAATAACTTCTACTTTAATACAATCTTTTAATAATAGTGATAAGTAAATCCAAATTTAATAGTTGAATTGATGAGTTAATTAAAGCTAGACCATCATGGAAAACCTGAAAGAATTGAATGGCTATTTTGTCCTAGTATGAAACTGTTTCAACAGTGCTCATCGACGAAACGGCCATCTAATGCTTTTAGATTTTCCATGATGATCTAGCTTTAATTGATTTATGAATTCAATTATTAAATTACTATAATATCTATAACCCCCCCACTTTTTTGATAAGAATTGAAATTTGTCTAATTAATGAATGTTTCAATATAATTATAAATATTTGAAATAGTTTATACGTTATTACTTTATCTATATAGTACAATTTAATCATTAACCTTTAATTGTCAATTCAAATATAATCATCATTAGAAGGTATCTATCATAATCTCTTTATAAAATTCCAACAGATCGCCTTGTTAATGTGTTATATGATGATTTGTTTAAATATTAATGGTAGTATTATTAGTGATACGGCAAAACTATAATTTATGGACGAACCAATGATGTATAGGATAATAGATTTCAGATTTTTCGACGAAATTCATTCATCTATTTGCTTAAATACCATTTTGAGATTATATCTAATGTCAGTTTGTGATAAAAACTCTAAATTTAATTCCTAACCTTAACTATCAATTGTAAATCCTAATTCTAATCCTACATACAGGTTTATAACCTTCATTTAGTTCTAGTTAATAGGTAGACACTTTCAGGATCAATCTAGCGTCGTTCAAAGGTCATTCATAAATGGTAGTCTCATCAAGCTATCATTTTAAATGAATTAAATGATCCAAGACTGAAAAATTTTCACAATAAACATAACCTGAACACATAAAACTAAACAAAGTTTTAATGGTCTAGGAAGAAACTAAAAAAAACTAACATTTAAAAATAAGTGAATTGGAAAATGGGAAAATAAACAAACAACAACAGCAACTACAAAAACAGAATATTGGAAACTATAAAAAAAAACACAAAAAATATTTCATATGATAACTTATTAATTTTTGTTGTTGTTGTTGTTCTTCTTATTCACAGTACTGATTGGAAAGACTGAAACGGAGAAAATAAGTAGAATAGAAATGACTGATAAACAAACAGAACATCCACAAACAGAAGAAATAATAAAAACAACACCATGGAACAATTTGGATAGAATAAAATACACTGAAAAAAATGGTAAGTAAACATGTTTTTTGAAGAAAAACACACATACACACATGTAATGCATAAAAACAAGATCACAAAAAAGGTAATAAACATTAAAAAAACGATAAAACAGAAAAAAACATAAAAATCAATTAGACAAAAACTAAATAACCTTAAGCGCTCGCGCGCGAGACTGATAGGTTCTGGGTTCGAATCTCGTGAGGGAGTGGATCGTTGATGCGCACTGCCGAGGTATCCCACAATAAGATGAAACGGCCGTCCAGTGCTTTTAGGCTTTCCATGGTGGTCTAGTTTCAATCGACTCATGATTTCAACTATTGAAATCATTACAATCTCCAAAAAACCTCTCTTGATAACATCAAAATATTTAAAAAAGTGGATAGAACAACGCTGAAAGGCAACGCAAAAAAAACACTGAGAACTTAATAATAGAAAAATAAAACAATTTTAAGAAGAGAAGGCATAGGGAGAGGAACAGAAAATAAAGAGAAGAAGGAAACAACAAAAGTGGAGAGTAGAAAGTAACATTAAATAAACTAAGAGATATCAATAAACGATACATGCTCATTTAAATAAAAAGCAGACTATTGCACAATTGATCGCTTTTTGAACATTGCTGCAGATGATGTGATGTTGGTCGATTCTGTTTGGAATGTGAGTGCATGCCATATGTAATAATTGTATTGCATGACTTTGAATATACAATGACAATGCCTGGACATGTAGGAGTATGGTGGTGTTGATTTGACGATGCATGAGATCAGTGTGAGAGTGTCGTGTAACAGACAGTCAAAGCTGTGTGGTGCCGTTGGTGATTACAGAAGGATTGATTGATTGAATGAATTAAAGACAATATATGTGAAACGTAAGGACGGATGCATGGAATGAAGTTTGTGAAACCTCAGACAATGGCCTAAAGAGTAGTTTAAATTAGAGGGGTATAAAGAAAAAAAAGAGAGACGTAGAGAGGAGAATAGACAGAAAAAGCGATAAACGAAAAGAGAATCGAGGTGACTAATAAATCAATAGAGGGAAAAAATGTAAAAAAAAACAAAGAAAATGAGAGAAAATGAGAAAAGAATAAACGTCAGAAAAACGAAAGAAAGTAATTAAAATAAATGACAATTATCGTTAAAATTATAGGAGAACAAAAAAAAGATGGAAACGAGGAATTGGTCAATACGACAGATAAGCATGGAAGAATAATAGGAAAAAAAAAACAAAAGGAAAATCGGTCACAATCGGACCACTGGGTAAGTCAGAGTGATTTGACTGTGTGTATTGTCGCAGTGATGGATTATTGTTGTGAATGTGTAGTGCATGTCGGTAACGGTTGGTGTTGTGTGTGCTCGCGTTGTTGATTGTAGTTTGATTGTGCCTGATCGAGTGAATGATACATTTGTAAGTATATGTATGAGATGATTAGTAGAA